TGCGCGAAATTCACTACTTGAGTTGTGAAATGGCTGGCGATTTGAAGGAAAACTGAAAGCTAAGTATGAGTGTAAAGACTCTGGAGCTTTTAAAACACCAATTTTCTGAATGTAGCAGTCACAAGTAACATAAAAGTAATTTCGACCGCATAACAGGTTTGTTGGGCATGGAACCACTAGTGAGCACACCATGAGGATGTTATATAGTAGTTCTTGAGTATCTGGGTCCATCTTTGAATGAAAACTGTTACTCCCATGAGGTACCAGAGGGAAAGATTACTTTTGTACCTGTTGACTTGGTTCTGGATAGATAGAAATGTGGCTTTCTTGCAGCATTCCGAATGCGTGGAATATCATTTTCACCATGCGTGATTCTGGGGTAGCATCTGCAGAGTGCAAGACAAAACGAACGATGAGGGAACGCACTTGGAGAGGACCGGAAATGTTCAATAAAAGTGCCTCATAAAAACTGGAAGCTATAATCAATGGAGCTTTGTTGGTAACATTTGTCACTAAAAGTAATAGTCGTAACAGTTTTGTGAGTCACTCCACGTAATGATTCGGATAGCAATTATAATCTTATGCGGTGCTTTCTTATATAGCACTCAGTCTTAGTCAGATTTACTATGAATGTCCGAGTACGAAACGTTCGGATAGTATATAGAAACGATTGTTGACGGACATCTCAAAGCAGTAGCTTCTATTGAGCAAGGCCTTAGTTGTATGGTAAGTGGATGTGAACGCAGAAGACGTAGGGATGGGACGAGGTAGGAGTGGGATTTGTGGCGGTATGGTGAAAATAGGTACGAAGTACGAAGTACGAGGTACGAAGTCAATTGCAAAGGAGAGGTTTGAAAGTAGTCACTGGCACGGAGAGACAGGAGCTACGCCCACGACTTGCAGGTAGAAGAGTCAAGCAGTAAGTAGTCATGTCGTCCAACAAGCATTTAAAATATATGATCACTCTTCACTGACGTATGACTGAAGTAGTAACCCCATACTACTTACTCGTGCCAGAGGGAGACCTACATCTCTTCGTAGCACAGGCTGTGAGACAGTTTTTCACTCAAACGCCTATCTCTTTTGGAAGAAAAATTTCTTTTGTGCTTTGCAGCTGCATTCGTTACCACTTGCGCTTTATATTTTTCAAGTCTTATCATTTCACTCATGAACGGGCATTGTAATATTCAATGTACTGCATGACATATTAGGATGAATCCCATATGTTCTCACCGTCAATTCTGTTGAACAGCGGTCGCCAACTTTTTTATAAGACACTAGGCCCTGAGCACCGATTTCTTTGAGAATATTTCGCAAAATAACGCATCTACCACCCTGCCAAGTGCTCACTTTCTTCTATCAAACATCTACTCATAGTGAAAGTTAACGTAGTATAGGAAGGTGCTTTCGGTAAAAATTGTTGGAGGAAGTTAAACAACACTTCATAGTTGCTCTGTCCTCATAATTGGAAGTTAAAGGACTTACATTTGTGTCGATGCCGATCAGGATAATAAGTGTTATAATCACTGAAGTCGCTGAATAGTACGATTCATTTTGAGGACTATGTTGTGGTGCACTACCCTCAAACAGCCTGAAGATATTTCCACGTTGGAAAATCCGTAACACCGTCGAGCGCATACAGCTTCTACTGGCTCTCAACAGCACCCCGTCTTTTACTTCTGAACCAGCAGCAATTGCTAATCCACCAAAGCCGATATGTACGACGTTCTTCACTCTCATGGGTAAATCAAATATACCAGACTTCACACACATCACCATAAGTTCATCGTCGTGAGAATACACGCAAATCTTACTCCGCTCATGTATACTATCACATCAAATGTACCATTCATCTCCCTTCTACCGTTTTACTCCTATCCCCCTTTCATACTCACATCATTTATATCATTTTTCAGAATCGTCACGAAGCGATGACTACCTCTAATGCTTCTTTCTCCGCTTTCGGATCGTCTTCGTAGATATATTTATGTACCACATGCGTAGAAACACACTTCACATTTCCCAATCTGTCTCCAAACTATTCCTGCCTATCGTCTAACAGTACAGAAATCAAGAGTTGGAATGTTTCCTTGACTGCAGTCTCCCACTTGATGATTTCTAATACCGGAGGTGCCTCCTGGTCTTGCGGTTTCATTCTTCAGAGTGATATGAATAAATATACTCTCTTCCCGCCCGTTTTAAACTGCAACTTCGGAGAATAAGTCTGAGGTTATGCCAAAAAGCCCTATCGTTGTGTAGATAATTCTACATTACTAGGGATGTCGTGGCCACGAAATTGGCAGGCATTCTTGCCTGCTAACTCAGATAAAGTGAATTTCGAATACTTCTGTCAACAATCTCCGTAGGAGACTTCTTGGGTGAAAGGATGGGAGGTTTATGCTCAGATGAACGCTTTGAAGCTGAAGGCGTTTGTAAATCCAGGTTGTTTACCAGTGCTGAGGCAGCTCACTTTCACGTCCCATGTCTACGTATTTACAGGAACACACGCGTCTTCAATACTCTTCTTCAGGGGGTGATGGAAACGTTTTGAGAGGGTCCCTAATCACTGCTAATCTACATGTGACATGAACTGGTGTGCACGGAATCGCCATTTGGTTCATAAAGGTCTCCTCTAGCGAGAGCTCAGAAATGGACATCGATCCGGCCAACCACCCCCAGTCTATCATTGGTCAGACACCTCTTGTTTTGGAACTAAAGGACCTCGATGTGTCCGTCAGTCACGATTGGAAAACATTCAGGCACTCCAACATTAATACAGAAATAACCCTCCCAGCCCTGTGATCCTTGCGAACTAGTTTCAGGAGCTATGATCGGAGGAGAGTTAGTATAATTGGTCCTATATGGACAGGACCTGATTTATATTTCCGCATTCATGCAACTAGCCAATGCTTCGAGAGTAGCATTCACACATTTGAGTTTGATGGGTAGATGCTGGGCTGCCGGCGGAATCATCGGTTCTGTACTATAAGCAGCTTGATGTCTTTCACTAATCTTCTCCGAGAGTAATTTTGGATGTAAACCTGATGTTCTTAAATCCCCAATAATTACTTCTAAGTTCAAACGGCCTATATTTTCTACCCCTGGTGGACTAATTGTCTTTGAGGCTGCTTCAGGTCCAGAAAGCTCTGTCGATTAAAAGCATTTTGAGCTTACCTTTCTATCAACTCCCAAACTAGGTCTGCTTTCAGAAATTCTGTTGAGGATCCAACCTTGTGCCATGTATCTAGTAGCCAACCACCTCCGATAGTGCAGGAAAGATGTTGACATGATGTCATCAACGCACTGCATGAACTTTCTCATCCAAATGTATTAGCCAATAACAGGGTCAGCACGCGGTGCTTTTGCTGGCGTGGAACTTACAAGGGTATGGAAGAATGTGGCCACTTGTATCCTGTCGAAAGTCTAAAATCATCCGCTAAACAAAATGCTAGTCAGGTTTGTTTTCTAGCGTGAAACGCTACATTTGATCAACTCCACATAGAAATTGTAGACCTCGTCTGGAATCTAATGGACCATTTCACAACGTTAAAAATATCACATTTGAGGCCATCGCTCTTGCTTTCGTGGAAAGATCGGTGGTAAACATTGGATATCCACCTTTTATTATGACCAACCAAAACCACCAACCGGAGTTTGAATTTATTCCATGCTTTATAAGCAGTTTTAGTGTGGGCTTGGTCCCAGACGACAGAGTAGCATGCGCGAACAAATAAAATCGCAGAACTTTTCCATCGGCAGAGCAGGGGTGCCATTCCAGAGACAAACATGCCTGAGTGGAATGAGGCACTACCTCTTTTCATGCTGTGTCCGGAAAGCTTAGTGAGCTGATGTTTGGTGCATTTCAGCAGAAGTCGCCACGAAACTACTCTTCAGATGGCTTTGACTTTGACAACCGTTATTAATAGAATGTCTTCGGTGGCTATGCCTGCAAACGCAGTGCCTTCAGTTAAGCCTACTCCTGCTCAACCTCAAACAACCGATGTCTTCATTCACTTGGGAAAACGGCCTCATTTTCAGTCATCGCCGCTGGGGTGATAAGGAGGAGTAATGTGTTTTTACACCTCCCTTGGCATTAAAATGAGATAGAGACTACCAAGGTAGATTTAAGCTAAGGACAAACTGCTTTCAAATACACAAAAGGGGGAGTTTGAACTTTTGTATAGCTAAAACTTCAATGAAACTAGGTATACGTTCTTGACGGCCTCTATGCAGTGGTCTAATGGTTGTTTTGGCATCAATCCCATGACATGTTTCTACAGTGTGCCTACCTATCGACGGTGAACGCGTCACACTTCTGAGATAATTTCCATCTTCTTATTACACAAACTTCTGCTTTTCTGAAGTTTGAGGAAAAGAAATTTCCGAAGTCCTTCTAAGCTGGCCATTTCAAATAAATACCGTATTACTACACGAGGCTGTACAATGTTTCGTGAAAACCCTCCGGTAGTAACCAAACATTTATTTATCCATTTTTCTGTTGCTCAAATATAGTATCAACAAAACATCACTGCTAGTTAGACTTATTATTAATACCTCACATTTAACTTCCTGTTTATGCAGTCACCTAGTCTTCGGTAGTGCCTCTATGGTAATCTCTAATATTTTCAGGGGGTTTGCCGATTTCTCCAGTAGCTCCATTGCTCGACTAAGCAAACCAGCCAAGCATTTGTAAACTAAAGGGGCAACCATCACATCCAGTGCTATAGGCAGGCAAACTAGAGAGACTCTTGCGCTCATCAAAGGAGTGTGACTGAACGAAAGGAACGGAACCTCAAGAAAGATGTGAGAGTTCAGAAACCATTGGTTTCCGCAACTCTCCCTCTTGGAAAAACTAGGGCCTTAGTTCAGTTTCGTTCAACCATTTTCAAGTCGTAAGCTTCGAAAACAAACAGATGATGCATTTTGAATAGTTTTTATTTCTGGAATTAAAGCTTTTCCAGCCAATAGCACTTTGTATAGCTTGACCTTCAAGTGGTGATGTATTTGTCATTCCATTTGAAACGAAGCGCGGGTTATGAACTTCCTTAGCATCCCAATAAAAAAGTCCTCTTCCTGCGATTTATTCAACAGCTTGAAACAGTTAATCACTACACAGTATGGTTCGAACGTTGCTGAGTCTTGCAGCCATTCTCTTGGGGATTTCGCCACTATACGGAATTCTGTATGTGCCAAAGGAGATAACTATAATCCTACAGTTGAAAGAATAGCAGCGTAAGTTGACCTATTAAGCCTGAATTTTCCACAGTTATATCTTATGCACTTGCTATTTGTATTTTGAATCCCCAAGCCGTTCTACATTTTAACGTAAGACACGTAGAACCTAAGGAACTGTCGTTTGCGAATTCTATAACACTAAGTTTGAAGTTCTTAATCGATGAAAGGATTTATCAAAGTCATGCCGCCATATAATCGAGAATTCAACCGTACTTGACAGCATTTAGAAGCGAGTTGTTTGTTCGCGTTTGACAGGCTAAAGATTGAGTTTTCTTACCTGGTAAAATCCTGCTTTAACTGGGAAATTTTTCTAGCTAAAAATGATATGTTTGTCACTGACCACGAAGTTCTGGTCGTTTCATTTGATGAAAGCCAACAGTTTCAGTTATTACTGTTGGCTAAAGAGTCACAGGATTATTTTCAATGCCAGAGTTAAGATATTGAAGTTTGCTTACTAAGAATTAATGTTAAGAAGAGCAGGATGCCAGAGTTGTTGTCGTCTTTTCAGCATGAAGGGGACTCTTTGGTCTATTGTCATTTTGGGTCCTAGAGAATACTGTGAAATTATTAAGCTTGGTTTAGTTATTGTTGGGGGTATGGCGTTGACAACTCGTTCATAAATCGTGTGTGGTTTGTTTTCAGTTTCCGATTGCTTTGACTTTAAGCAACCAAAAGCACATAAAAATTTACAGTCTTAACAGCGTAAGACTGTTTTGTAATGCCTATCTTCTCATTTTGGGTAAGCGATTAGAGATAAAGAGGGAAAGGCACCAGCATTAGAGAGAACCCAAACATTATTCAAGCTTATTAAGCACATTTACAAGAGGATGGTGGTTATTGAGGCCATCGTCGAGAAGTATGAGTCTTTGATAACTGCTAAGGACAGGTAGCTAGAGCGTTGGGCGTTGGACTCTGAAAAACAGTTCAGCTGGCCCATAGCAATACTTCATTTGCTCAATGTCCAACCCAAATCTAAGTAGTTCGTTGACGTCTATCTTCTGACTCTTCTCGGGGTTGATAAGTTTGTTTCTAACTTGAAGTGATGCAAAGCACCAGGGTTTAATGGTTTGCCACCTGAAGGTTTTCAAGAGAGACGTAAGTTACTGAGTGGAGCAACGGACACTCTTGACATAGCTGCTATCTTGACGTGGTAGTCTGGCTTGCATATCACAATGACCCAACGATGTCCTGATAAAATTCATATTCCCTCAAGGTCTTACCTTACCTAAAAGGAGCACACCGGCGACTTTAAAGGCCACTTTAGTGAAGATCGAAATAACCAGTTAGGTTTCTCCACTTCCAATGAAAAGGCAGATTTTCGTAAAATAAAGAAGTCTAATTAGTTATTTCAGTCGTTGCTAGGGTGGCCTTTATAGTCACTCCGAATACAGCCGCCTTGTACATATCCGTGGACTGGGCAATGAGCTATATGTATGAGGGCTAGTGATACTACCTGGCTGCTGAAACCTCGGTAGATGGGGCGGGGTTCGAATTGGCGGCCCACTGGTTGATACTCATCTCCCTGAACCACTGAGCCCCAGCGCCCTACACCGGGATAGCGGTTAGACAATAAGCGGTTACCATTGTAGTAAAGATTGCTACGCTGTCATAGGAGTCTGAGGAGTAGTCGTACTGTCGGTTAGACGGGTGTGACACCAGTACCACACTAACGCTGTCGGTAATAGGGTTAGGAGGGGGCCGTAAAAACAACACCCACTACGCATCAACATACTGATGCCAGCGGCATGGGTTCATAATCTGATAATAAAGCGAACCACCAAGATCTCGAACTTGCAAAATGGTTGTGTGTGACAAGATTGGTAGGAGTCTGTGCCTGCACTCACCCTCGGTGAAGAGCCGTCGGAAGTAGTTGACAAGTTCGTGTATCGAGGTAGTTGAGTGAGTGGTGAATTTTTTTAACCCCATATCGAGACCCAGAGTGGCGGATACCAATCTGGGCCACCTTTTGCGCCGTCGCGATGTTAGTCTGACCGTAATAGGCTGAGTTTACAGTGCTTCGATACGAGCAGTTCTGATCTACGCCTATGAAGCCTGGCTTCTGCGAGCTGAGGATATGCGACGTCTCTCTGTGTTCCATCACCGTTGTCTTCTTAGAATTTCTCGTATCCGGTAGTAACACTATGTAGATCATTCTGAAGCACAACAGCGTGTGCTTGGGTATAATGGAGATCGTCATCCAGTAAGTGAGGTCATCTGTAAACTTCGGCTTCGGTGACTTGGACATGTGTCACGCATGTCGTCGCAACTGCTTCCGTACCATTCATTGTTTGCTGGATGGAAGAAGTGGAGGGGTGGTCAATGTACGGCGTAACCCCGTGGTATGAAGGATAGTTGTATCAGGTTAGCATCTGTTGATGCATCACGACTCTCTGGGTTGGGTCCGAGAGATCACACAATTTACTGGCTTGAGACGTCATAAGATATGAGTCAGAATAAAAACCAGTGGGGGGCATGCTGTAGCTTCCTTCGATCTTCTGTTACTGAAAAGTAATGAATGTTTTGTTCTGAATGTATCTTACTGAACTGCTTTTCTAATCACACTTATTATCATCGTCGTGTTTTTCTTCTTTACTTATCCACTTCCCGTCGCTTTATGTCTTCACAGCGTCATTACATTATTTTGTACGGCGAATTTCTTATTGCCCTTGCCCATGTTTGTGTTTCAGCAATAATAATAATTATAATAATGCAGACGTGCATATGGAGGTCTCCGTCTCGTCGTCTGTCTTCACAAGGGTTGGTGTGATCACAGGAGAACCCTTGGTCGACCTATAATATGCAGATGACGTAGTCCTGCTAGGTGAAGATACCGACAAGATTGAAAGTCTTCTGGACACCTTGAGTGCTAATTTGAGAATGTTTGGGGTGCTTTTCCCACCACCCAAATGCAAATTGTTTCTCCAGGACTGGTCTTCTGTGGTGCTCAGGCTAACAAAGAGTAAAGTGGTTGAGTGCATTAAACACTTCACGTACCTGGGAATTCGGATCAACCTTGGTGGCTCAGTGGTCGACGAAATCTCGAGGTGGATACAAGAGGCTCGAACGGATTTTGCCAAATTACACCATCTGTGGCACCGCCACGATATCTGATTGTCTATTACGGGTCGAGTGTACTGTTCTTTAGTTCGCTCTGCTGTACTGTACGGCTGTGAAACATGGACATTAAATGTAGGGGACAAGAGGAGAGTTGTCATTTGAATTGATGTCAACTATTGGTGTCCTCCAGGAATGTCCACTGTCATCGTTTCTGTTTAATTTCGTTGCAGAGACACTAATGGACATTACCTTAGGTACGTCTGACTTCACAGGGATTGACCTACTTCTTTGAGGTTATGTGACTGACTTGGAGTGTGTAAACGATATTGTCCTGCTAAGTGAAGACACTGACGAAATTCAGGGTCTTCTGGATGTGTTGAGCAGAATTCTAAGTGTTTGGCATACGTTCTGTATCTGCGAAATGTAAGATGTTGCTCCATGACTGGTCTGCACCTACTCTTAGTTTAATTATTGTGAGTGAAGTGGTGAAATGTGTCAACTACTTCACTTACTTGCGGAGTTACATCAGCTCGAACGCACCGGTTTCTGACGAAATCTCAACTCGGATTCAGAAAGGCCGTTTGGCATTTGCCAACTCGCGTCACCTGCGGCACCGATTGGCAAGATATCCAACTATCTATCAATGACGAGCGTGTTGTGCTGCAGTTCAGTCTATGCTGTTTTACGAATGTGAGGCATGGCCATTAAAAGTAGAAGACATGAAGCGGTTACAGGGTTTTGATCACAGGTGTCTTCGTAGCATTGCTCGTGTTTGGTGGAATTACCATGTGAGGAACTTTGAGGTCAGGCGAAGGATTGATGAGGTTGTGAACCTTAATCAGGAACGGTATACTGCACTGTGCTTCGTTTTGTACCGTTATGTGGAGGGGGGATAAGCACTGACAGTAGACATGAGGATGTGATAGTTCTTTTTTACCATGGTTGTCTTCACAGTATTGCTGTTTTATTTTGGAATCAATGTGTGCAACGTAGAGGTTAAGCAAGGAAAATAAATGAATGAGTTGACTTGAACGCGTGTCGCGCATGCCGAGGCCCTTCATTCGTCTATACGCAACGTAAGCTGAAGTTAGGTTGGGTCGGACAAAGAGTTAGGGTGGTGAGACCAAGACGTGATACCAGTCGATGGAGTCTTTGAACTTTTTATTAAGGTGTAGACTGCTTGGCTTTGTTCCTCGAGATATTAAAAATCGATAGTTGGAGAACCTTAGTGACTGCGGAAAGTTGGTTGTGATCGCTGGCGTAGCCCTCATTTTTCATATTGCTTCTCATTTCATTCTTTTTTGTCTACTTTGATATAACGTTCTTTCTGCCCACTTGGTCTTTGTGTGTTGTTGCTTCTGACTTTGTCTGTCTATGTATGACATCTGTAGCTACTGATTTGCACTTCTCAAACCTTACCCAGGGATTGATTGAAGTGTGAATAGATACCAACAATAAACGGCTATTAATTATCAGATGACTTCGCGTCATCCACTGGTTATCTTTCCGCTTATTCTAGTCTGTTGCAGGGTTGGGAAACAATATGTGGTATGGGAGCAGCAGAGACAACCTTCATAATGCATGGCAAAGCCGTCAAAATCAGTTTTTCAAGATTACTTCATTTAGCGGATAAAGATCTATTATTTCCATTTACTGTTGCACCTCAATTACATTTTTTTTTCACCAGCTGCCAACAGTCGTGCAAAAACAGAGTTGATGAAAAACAACCATCAAACGTGCAACGAAAAGAGCAATTTTGCACGCACAAAGAAAAGCTACTTGCATTGATTTATTATATTCCCGACTTTTTATAATCAGACTAGGTTTTCATCCTCAATAGAAATCGAAATGCTGTTAACAACTTTGCGCACATTCATGCAGTTGGCAGTTAGTCACACCTATTTTGTGAGGGTTAATGAAAGTACCTGGCTACTAAAACCTCGGTAGGTGGGGCGATATTCGAAATCGTGACTCGTCTGTTGGAAGTCGGGTGCTTAGACCAAGCAGCTGATCTGGCTTTTGGTTAGAAATTTTATGAGTCAAACTTCTGTCAGCATTCGTACTAATAGCCATGCAAGCATTTTTTAACCACTTCCAAAAGCTAACCATTTAAAGTGAGTAAAAGCATAAGTTTTACGAATCTTGTAAACGTGTGTTGTAATCCAGTGATGCAAAGCAAATAGCGGTCACTTATTGGTCACTGATAAAGTTCTATTTAAAAGAAAACGATATCCACATAAGATCGAAAGGTATTTTAGTAGCTAATCCACGCAACTGCTAACATCCAAATTTGTTTCAAATCTGTTTCAATGGGGAAGTTGAAAAGAAATGGGAATTTGCGCAGCAATCTCAAATTGCACTTCTGATCCGAAGCAGTGGGAAGAGGTGATTATATTCCCTAACTTTGACGGAGGTAATATGCTCTTATGATATTGATAAACTTCTGAAGGATGTCTCTCCAATGGGTAACTCCAGAGTGGAGTGCATTTCACCTGATCAAAGTCAGCTGTTATGTTGAGGAGCAGAACGGCTGTTGGGATGCAGCAATTTTGACATTGTTTAAGCTCCAACGTAGAGTGGAAACTTGCTCACTCCACTCGTGACATAGACGGAACACAGTATGTTACCTTTCATGAATTTTTCAAATCCTGTGAAGTGTGATAGCAGCCAACATTTAGAGTGCAACTGGTAGAAAACCAATACCCACACAATTGTAACATAAGACCCGTGTTTGAATATGGAATGCTGATGGTATTGTTCCAGAGTAGTGGATGTTTACACAGTAACCAAAGTTCAAAAATTGTGTAATTATTCGTTACAAATATAATAATGTGATGGAGTTGTCAGCCTGATCATGTGTTCAAGACTCTGTTTTACCTGAGCAGGTGAATAAAGTTACCCAGCTAAAAATGCATATTACCATTGGTCTTATCCGATGCCTATTCAAGAATGTTAAACATCGTTGCACAGTAACGAATTCTTATTTTAGGTTATGAAAATGTCTCGGAAGTAGTTGTCATTTGGTTGTTGTTTCGTCTTGTTAATCCTCTTGTGGTGTAGACTGATAACACCCGTCATCCTTCTTAAATACATGGTTATGGTAGGTATGTGGTATGTAAAAATTAATAGTCATCTAACTCACCTAATACTTTGCAGTTCATCTACGAGGCTATGGGGTAAATTCACTCTGTTATTTTTGTAATTATACTTCTTCATCCAAACCTTGATATATGACGTTTGTTTTTAACTCGTGATTAGTTGACCAAGGTTTTATTGCCTAAACCCTGAACTACAGCCTCAGAACCATCAAAGTGGCAAGGTGATAAAAGTATTTTTTGGGGGTGGGGTGGACGGGTAGGTAAGTTTCCGCTAATTTCCAGCATTGGTTAGTGAGTTGAATGTGTTGTCAAGCAGTTCTCTCTCTTCTGTTTAGCTGTGAAACACAGCTATTAAAGGCGGACATCAAAAGGATTCTGGTGTTTGACCAACGTTACCTTCGTATCACCGGTCATGTGTCGTGGAACCACCATGTCAGCAACGTACGTGTTTTGAAAAAGAGCGATCCAGTTGGTTAGGTTGTAAGCCATCGTCAACTGAGGTGACTAAGATATGTTATGTGACTAATCACTGTCTACCCCGTTTCGCCATGTTGTTCGAAGTTGGTTTAGGTTGGAAAAAGATCCAAAGTGACTGGAATAAAACCTGGCGTCAGTTCACACAGTCTTTGACTATTGGGCTTAGCAGTATAGGATAAGGTACACTCTCCAGTAGGGGCATACATGACGACCGAAATCGTTGGTTGAAAATTGGGTGATAAAGCTCAACAGATTTAAATGATGTATATACATTCACACATTATCTTCATTTCAGTCGTCTCGAATTTCGTTACTGGTCTGGCACTTCTCCACCTCTTATAACTTTCCACCTTTAATCACTTTATTTCTCCATTTTACACCTTGGTGTCTTCCACCTTGAACTTCTGACACGAGTCTTTATACTACATGTCATTATTTGCTTCAATCTCCCTTCATACTGTTTCATGACTTTCTAAAAGTTTTGATGCCATTTCCATCCTGTCATATTTTGTCTGACCATCTTATGCCATGATATGAGGTTTCGTGACTGTGACCGTACTGCAGTGTTCCTAAGCCGTTTGTTAGTACTGACTGACTTGCCAACTTGATGATCTTTCCGACACCCGTTGCTTTAAGCCGCTGCGGCAAATGATTATAAACAACTAGCTTTCAAACAGTGGATTATGGGCTCGTAAAGATTTGTCTCATCGACGTAAGAGTTTGACTTTCAAGCAATGAATTTCTAGTTCAAATCCCACTGCACCTACTGCTGTCTGGGTGACCTCCTAGGATCACGAGTCCTCACACAAGTGTTTCAGTCTAATCTATGCATGGAGTCAAGTTGTATTACTTCACATGGGCTCGAACCCCTCTCCACCTAATGGGCAAAAATAATATGACGCAAGTAAACAATAATGTTAATTCTTCATACCTTCATTCTGAAAAATTTTCCTCACTTTACCTGGATTGATTGTGACAGATATCATGATGCATTGGATCAACTAGAAGGACGTCTAAATCTGACCAACAACTCTCGAGTTGAATTCAAGTGGAGTGATATTACCGGAAAAAATACCAAAAGTAAATTTTGAGTTGGTCATGATATGTTCTTTCCTCACAGAAGAAAACTCATTTAAATTTGAAAGGATGAATGTTCTTTTCTGTTATGCCGCTGCTCACAGTCAACTTGGTGAATCTTGCCGTCCCAATTGTGAAAATTCACTTCAACAGGCCCTAAAGTCTTTTAAGGTAATAAAAATAGTGTTTGTTTTTTATTTGGTTAACCTAACCTGTTATCCTGATACAACTTATTAAGGGTTATTTCTTGAGTTTTAAAGTGGTTTGCTTTTTTTGGTAAGAAATCCAGTTACTATAGTATCTGAAGCAGGAGTGCACTTTTGTACAAGGTTGTAGGACGATGTATCTAATTAGGGAGTAAAAAAGTAAGTTTTTCACTTCAGGGTGCGGTACGTTCGTAATGATATCAGTCACAGGAAAAAAGTTTATTTTGTCATGCACATCACATTCAACCTAGTTATTTAAATGTAATCTGAGATCAAAAATGAATGTTTCATAAAAATGCACACAGTATCTATTCTGTCTATACTTAGTTCTATTTAGAATTTACTTTTATCGTGAAGTTAAAGTGCTGCTAATTTTTCTACCGATTTCCATCAAAGGAGCTAAGAAGGGAGACAACATTTTATTGATTATTCACTGTAGCGACTGCTGTAAATAACCAATTTAGTTCCTTTATCTCAAAAGTAATTCTTTTATAAATTAAAGAAACCTCATTGGTTGTTTTTGTAGTTACTAAGGTGGTCACTTTCGACCAACTACCGAACCATCAGTTAAGTCTCAGTGGGAACAAAACTCACTGAGGTGCTGGCATCTCCAATGAAGAGACCCTAATGGGACGAAATGTACCTTCTGGATTCCGCTGCCAGCCACCAAATAGACTACAACCGATCAATCAATGCGATAGTAAAGCAGCATAAAGGCAAGAAACGTACTGTACAGTCAAATAGAGGTAGCAGCGAAATACATTTAAGGAAATTTCGTTACTTCAGCACTTCCTTTTTGTAGTGGAAAGCGTAGAAAATCTTTACTACGATCATCATTGGTTTTGATTCAGAATCATATCTTGCAGTTTTTCAAGAAGTTAACTTGCATGATGCCTACAATTCTGTCTACGGGATCACGATGCACTAATATCACTTTTTGTCCCAAGAACTCCTTCCACTTTTTTCAACCATTTTCAAGGCCAGCCCACAAAGAACCAATGCATTATAAGTAAGTTTTTAATGAGAGGTTTACACACAATGATAAGTTTTCATTTTGGCAGTATTTCGAGTAAAACTACTGCACGTGATTCCACCAACAGCTAGGATTTTTTAGGACTATTTATTCCAGCAGTAATTTTGCTCGAAATAAAAATTTATCATTGTGTGTAAATGTTTCATTAAAAAATGTACCTATGATACATTAACCCATTCCGCAACACATTAATTTGATGTTGTAAGGTAACGTTGTCAAATAAACACTGACCTTTATCATGTCCATATCATAAGGTTATGGTATTTTTTCATCGAATGGTGCATCGGTTTTGAATAGATGAAGTAACCGAGCATCCTGATCTCAAATCCTAAGGTTTCACAAATATAATGTAAAACTGCGTGCATAGATATGAAAATTCAGTTACTCGGTTGTATTGTGTTCTCTGAGCTGGGTTGTTTAGACGATTGAATGATTAAGCAACTCGGCTCAGAGAACACATTACAACCAAGACCATCCCCATGAGCTACAAATATTCTCCACCATTTCGAATTCAATCACTTGATTATAGTGACAAAGCCGAAAGGCCTACTGTCACTGATATAAAGACTACTACTGCCCACCACATTCCGACCAGTACTCATGGAACTCCTCAAGTACAAAAGCCTTCCTCCCATTCATAACGACGTACAAGTTAGAGTGAATGCACGTTCATGCCTTTGTCAGTCTTCCTAAAGTATTTTTATATATCAGTGGTTCAAAGAACATATCATATCTACAGACACTGATCAACTGACTGAATTCAATCTGAGTAGATAATGTTATTGCACAGTATGTTCATATATTCCATCTATTTAAGGTTGAATGGTCGTCGTAGAAAACCTTCTCTTTCAGAGCTGTTTTAAGGATTTTATTTATGACAAAATCCCAAACAAACAATTTAACTCTTGACTCTATTCCTAATGTGTAACAATGAAGAGAATGACCACATGCTACAATTTTACTAGAGAATATTTAGGACTTTCAAAATCCTAGTAAACTCTTTTGAAATGCTTTCTAGCAAACAGGTTCACTGCTCAATTCTCTTTGAATAATCGAAAATAATCGTAATAATACAATCCAGTAGTTTTCAGTTTACTATAGTGTGCAACCAGCGTTTGAGCATCTTCCAGTATCGTATGTGTGTGTGTGTGAGTGAGGATTTTAATTCTTGACTTTATAGATTGGAATTGAATATGTATTTTTCAGTTGAATCAAGTCGATTATTGTTAAGAATGGTTTTTCTCAAAATGAGTTTTCTGTTGTTACTTTTTTAAAAGTCACAAAAGTACTGTTCATATTTCTGATTATGTTTTTGATATGTACATCAGTATCCCGTCATGTTTACCCTGGTTGTTGGTAGAAAAGCAGTCAGTGGATAAATTGGGTGACTGTAAACAAAAAGATTTGCATATGTAGACGAGGATCCTACTGGTCTTTATCATTAAATCTTCTTGATACAAACTTCATACTAATCTTTTTGTGCTCAAAACCAGAATACACTAAACACTTAAAACTTTCGAGGTCACTTAGACTTTTCATAAAACTACCCACTGAGCATCAATCACCTTGCTGACACTCCATGACAAATGGATAAAAGATAAAATCGACTTGAAACGCTTTATTAACCAAACCAACAGAAAAAGAAGGTACACAATCTGTTGGGATAATTTTATCTTTCAAGACTGAGTCAGCACAACAATTGTGGCTCATTGTCTAGTACACAAACCTATACTGGACTGGGTGGCATTACGGATAAACCTTAAGTTGTCGTGTGATTATTGGTTGATTATTTAGCTCGATCACTTTGGTTATTTTATACTGCAGAAATTACTTCTTGACTCATATAGACAAACAGTATTTAAAAGTAATCCTTTTAACATCTTTTTGAAGCAGCTAAGCTTTCTTGGTACTAGTTTCATAGGTTTTAAAGGCCGTTGTCACCATAGTGTAGTGTGAGACATTTTATTTCTGTTTTACGAGTCGCTTCTGTCGACTATTGATGTATTTATCGGTCATTGAATTCTAAACTTTGTTCTCCTTTGCAGGTGAACTCAATCTGTGACTGTATTATATAGAATAGTCGGTTACTCGTTTGCACAGCACTAACCTGTTAGGTGTGTGGAAATAGTTGCTGAAAAGCATTAAACATAGGTTTCGTATTTATTGAAGCTTATCAGTAGGACATGTTTGTAAGCCTAAAGAGTATAATCCTTTTGAGGTTTAAACTTGTTGTTAAACACCTGTCGGTAATGATATTGCTGAACATTTTGTAGTATGAACCTTTTATAAAATTTCAACAATATATGATGAAATATATTGTCTTATTGCTTGATTAAATCTATTATACGATCTATTCAAAAATCTTATTTTTCAATCTTTTTCTTTCGTAAAGATTGCTTCCAGTACGTTTGACTATTTGTCATCGGACACAGCTTCGACAAAAGATCCTCTACCAGATATGACTTCAGCATCATTAACATTATTCAGTAACCTTATGCTGGCTCAAGCTTATGAATGTGTATTTTACAAGGCAGAAAAAGGTAACATTCTATCCTTTTAATGACATTCTTTGTTTATCGCAGATGAGAAAAAGCCTGCCATTCTAGCAAGAATATCATCGACACTAACTACTCTTTACGAGGAATGTGTTGCGAATTGTTCTAGTGGTGCTAAAAATGTTGTCCCAAAGGTAATATATGGTTTCTCCATCATCTTTGTTTTAGGATTGGCCAGGTGTTTTAAACATGAAAAAGGGTTTATATGAAGCTTTAACTCAATATTATCAGTCCAGAGCTTGTGGTGAAAGCAAACAATATGGTGAACAATTGGCTCGTTTATCAGTAAGTTGGTCTCTCATATCTCAAGCTTTTCTTGTATTCGGTTCATATAATTTTCATAAGCTACACGTTTTTGTGTGCTTTACTATCGGTTAGTTTGTTATGTATCTTCTCAGAACTGTAATCCTAGAAGTTTGTATGGCATGATCATTAAACATAGGTGACCTTCAAACACCACATTTATCTGGTCGTAGATACCTCTGAAAAATCACTGGTGCAAAGGTTATAATTTTAAATTGAGAGGATAAAACTTTTTAAAAGGTTAAAGGTGTTCTGAGGTGTTTAGCAGATGCTGTACATAGTCAACGTCTGGCTGAACTTTTGATCGTGATAAGGGTGAAAATGAGGTATTAAAACTATGCGTAGTCAGAACAAGAAACAATACCACTCTTGCAGTCAGTGGCCAGTTTAGAATACTCTGAAATGGATTCATGATTTATTACCTGAGTCACGAAGATGATTAAAATAGATCGCTGAAGGGCCTAAGTGGTTTGGTTGCAAATTGGTTTCAGTAGTTCAAAAAGATGCATTTTTTACTTTTACAAGAAAGTTGTCCCAAGTGTGCGTACTTATTGTTATTGTATCTGTAATGTGAGTGAATACGTATTTTCGTTGAAGTCTCACCATCTTTGAATAAAATATCTCAAGCTTAAAAACCAAAAGATTAACGGGTATGGAGATTATCATTTACAATTGCGTTCAAACTAGAAATCACAACAAGCAGTCAGTAACTATGGGATATTGGGCCAAATGAAAATTAGAAGCATAAAAATCATACGAATGTCAATCAAAGGGAAAAACAAAACCAACAAGTCAGATTGATAGATACAAGTTAATTGAGGCATTGGTTACCTGAATTATGTAAGTTCCGTCTCTGCAAATGGTTACAGAAGAGTAAGAGAATGTTTGAATTGTTTTTGCATACAGAGCTCGGGTTTCATGATTTTTATTGCAATAACCTCAGCAGTTTAAAAAAGGCGAATTCTTCCTGTCTGTGGGATTCAACCTGGTATCTTTTGGATTAGTGAGAAAGCAGACTAAATGTCAACATTGTGACTAGTATCAATTAAATGGGAGTGGACAGAACCCATAATTTTTATCTATCCTTTTGCTAGCCATGCTAGTAAATGTTCTTTCGCACTCTTCGGAAGGGTTCGCATAGTTCCTCCTAAATAGCTGATTCCACAGGAGCAGTTGAATTTATAGATATACATTGACATGGAGATATAAGAAATCGTAACTTTCAGATGTGTCGGTAAGATACGTCTACTGCTGAACGCCCATCTCACACGGTCGGCAGAAAATGTCTTCTTTAATGAACGCTGTAGTCTTCTTGCAATGATTAAGGCTAGGTTATCACCCTTAAATGAAAGGTTGGTGAATATTTCTTTCTTTCCACAAGTGGAGATGACTGGTTTTTTGTTCTATCTATCGTATTCTTAACGAAATTGTCGAGTTATCCATTTTATTTGAGAGTGTCCATCAAATCTTCCTACCTTATCTGTCGTGTCATCGTAATCTTTGTCCCTTCAAACAGAAGTTGAACCAAGTTATTTTTCTGCCATAGCGGAACAAAACTAGATGGTATGTGGTAAACACTCTTGATGATCTCTCTTCTGTGCGACCCCGGTAGTAGGACATCTAAGAAAGAGATTGACTTTCAGCACATCTGAAAGTTAGGATTTCTCATATCTCCATGTCAATGTATATCTATGAATTCAACTGCTCCTGTGGAATCAACTATCTAGGAAAAACTAGTATGGCTATCAAAAAAGAGGAAAAGATTATAAGTTCTATCCAGCTCCAACTGGCTGACACTGCTAGATGACGGACATCTACGTCCCGTTCAGGTTCAGACTGGATTTTGGGCAACTGAAAAGTTTCTGAAGGCCAGCTGAACTGTGCTTCTAAATGTTCTGACCGCCTGTCCTGGGAGGTTATCAGCGTCCCATCCTTTTTAGTGATGGTTTCACTAGCCATCGTCTGCTTCTTGCCGGTATCCGTAATACGCCTAAATAGCTACGTAGGGTCACCCAACGTTGATGCTTTCTCTGTCTCTTGCTGGTCATCATAATCATCCTGAGTAAGTCAGCGTAAAGAAATTGGTTGCTTCCAGTATTGACATTAAATATCGAACTGAGCCAGATTCAACACTAGCCATCAAACCTCAAGAAAGTATAGGTGAGCATTGGCTGCATTTGCAAGAAGCCTACATGAAGGTCACAAAACATGGTGGTTATTTCATACCAATGAGACAAAAGTATCAGTTGTATTTCTCAGTAGTTGGAAGCTGTTCTAACCTATCTCGACCATCAGCAGTTACAATTCCTAACTTTGAAGTTGCTTTCTCACACTCTGCCTTATGACGAACCTTTAAAAGCTAAAACTCAGTGAGCAGTTATTCCATTATTATTATGTTATTCAGCTATACAAAACCTCAGAAAGCTCTCTTAGTGTCCTTCAAAGTTAGTTAGGTTGCAGACTTTCGGAAAACCACAAACTTGCACAATACATTAATAATATGGCTGGAAATGGGACACTGTGGCAAGTTGTAATTCCATCTCTCCTTGATTACATGTTTCACACAGTGAGTCAGTATTGTTTACTAGGTAACATTTTGGACACAATTTATTGTCCGTATTCATATCAGGTTACGCCACCATATCTGGAAGTTACTGATTCATCTGATGTGAATATGGACAATGGATTGTTTCTGAAACATTATCCAACAAATAATACTATTTCACTGTGTGACACATCTAGATATCTAGACAAACTGAATTTGGACAAAACAACCATTTAACTCTTCACCCTTTTCAATTACTGTCCATCAGACATTCTTATTATCTTCACTCATGAATATTGTTGATGAATAATGGGAACACAGCAGTCATGTGATTACTATTGTGACCGAGAATGCAGATTTGGTAGTTGAATTTGTGGAAAGTAAACTTTTCTCCACTCACTTGATTCTTCTTCTCCTTATAGATTAATGGGTAGCCTTCATCATTCGAATAATATTGACTTTTTAAGACCCTTCAAATGAATAAACAAATTCAGTCAGTTTGTCTATTAGTTAGAATGTCAAACGGAATTGATAAAAATATGAATTCCAGCAGTGAAGCAGAAATTCGCTTGTGAAGCTAATCTGCGACCACATTTTCTCTTCTCTAAGTGAAAAAGTAGGAAAGAGTAGACTGAGACTGCAATTTAAAAAAAAATGAATCTGAAGGTTTAGTGCTAGATTGACATCGGGACGTCAACATGGGCTAAACTTTGTTCTCTGTCAATATGTGAAATTGTTAAACCAGTTTTCTGTTAACTGAGAGTTTATTTGTAATAACAGGTCTTGCTGCATTATGTTCCTAAACATTCCTCCTGTGAAGTGGGTTTACCACACACTTTTGATTATTAATTAACATTTCTTCCCAGGTATTTGTTTTGTGTTTAACGATAGTCAGTATTCCTGACTACATTTATGTCCACCAAGAATTCTTTGAAGATTTGCACTTGGAAGCATCAATATTTGACACTTTCACTTGTTTACTAGTCAGCAGTACGAGCATGTGTATACTTTTTTGAACTGTGAAGTGTGTACATAGGTTCGCTATTCTCCGACTGCTTTGTCTAACTTCCTATTATTGACACTAACAGTTGTTAAATTATAGTCGTATACTTTCACTGCTGGAAATCGAGGTGCACTCAGCAACTACATGGAGACTCGAGCAGTAGGCAATAAACCACATCCATTGTATATGGAACAATGATGCTAATTGACTGCACAGATGGTTGGTAGGGCGGGTTACCAACCGCTGCCTATTGGCTGATATGCGACTAGTTGTTCGGTACTATAAATAATGTGTAGTTTTACGGTGCCAAGTGTAATGATGTGGGATATGTTACCGGTGTTTATCCGTTTACCATGACTATTGCATAACAGACAGTTGGAAAAATAGCCTGAAAGAATTTCGCTAAGTAGGTGACAGTAAATAATTAACTCTTGTCATTTTCAAACTATCTTACTTCAGTGATGCACTTGTGTCATGTGGTCACCCTCATTGGAGAAGCTCTACACAACTCAACAGCATTCAACTTCATACGATGATGCGATATGTTTTTGAGTCAAACATTTTACTTTTTTTCAACTCCATCAACTAATGAAAAATATCTGTGTTAATTATCATCATGCATTATTCAACCTCTGATTTTATCTTTCCAATCATATTCAATTTTTATGTAGTGGGCCTACGAATTGATTAAAAGCGTTGCTCGCAACAGTTATTTTCAGCGTAAAAACTTGGTAGAACAGTTTAAACACGAAGAAACGGTTGCAACCAAAGACAATGATCATATCTATCATGAGAAAGTACCAAATAGAATGGGGCTAACTCCTGTTCAGGGTGTTGAATTGATCAAAAAATCTCAACTGACATTCCCATTGTCAACATCAGCTAAAGATTATTTTGTAGACCTGCTTCCTGTTGCTGTTACAGAGGCGCTTAACACTGCTAAAGGTGTTCGTGCATCTCTAGTCGAGGGAGAAGTGTGTAGACTACGCGAAGCTTCCACTAAACTGAATGAGTAAGTACTACTGTGTTCTACAATATTTCATCATCTGACTACAGACATTTTTATCTGTATATATCTGTATCGTTTTCAGTAAATCTACAAACTTAAAGTTTAGTTTGACAAACTTCTCATCAACATACCGGAGGTTTAAAAAGCGAATACGGTTGCAGCGAAGATAATTATGCTTTTGACTAGTTCATTTTCATCACTTTGCTTTTGTACATATACAAAAGATCAAAAATCCCCGATAAAATTTCAGTCAACCTCCAAATCAGTAGAACAATAAGAAATAGGCTTAGAAAAGAAGTTTGTCATGAGATATATTCTTGAAAATGAAAGCCTAACCAGTGAAAAATAAACATTTCATCATGAGAATTTTTCTGAAATAAATAAAAACAAGTGAGACTTGAGGTCACGGTAAAGAAAGTGACTGTATATATTAATTCTGATTACATAGCTGTTGATTACTAATGCTTCTTTCGTATGCATCCTACTTTCTCTCCATTTCATTGATTTAATTAGACTTTATGGAGAACTTTGGGTGAAATTTCAAAAGAATGAAAAAGTCTTTAGTTTGTTACGTTCTGGTTGATAGGTCTGATGTATAATGGTTTTATATTCACCTCTCAGTAAATAAGCTAAGGTGTGCTTGCGAGTGTGCATCTGCTCTGCAGAGGAGCAAGTAAACTTGCAAATACCTTTAAATTAGCTGTAACAAGCTCACTGAGACTTTTTTTTTGTAATTTTATTTATTTAAATGGATCTATTTCTCTGTGATCATCATTGTTAGTGCAACCTTATCAAAAGGTAATGCTCAGTTGATGCTCACTTCTATGATGAAGTTATTGAAAGTTGAAAGTCAGATCAATTTTTATATCTCAATCTTGTGCTTAGCTTGGCTTGCTGATAATTCATTAGTTAGGTTTGAAGTCTTATCAGAGTCAATGCTTGAACTATCCGTCAAGGTTTGAACAGTTGCATGATATTATCATTGACTGTCATGCAATAAGCCTGCGTCTTAGCCTTTGTGATGAATATTTATTAGGTTTTTGACTTACATTCAATCATATTACGCTATCAATGAAATAACTGCACAATGTAAAATGTGCATTATTATTATTATTACCATATATTCCTGATTGTTTTCATTACGTAATACCGCATTGTTGCGCTAGTGATTAGAAAATCTCGTTATCGCTCGCTAGCTCACTTTTGAGTTAGCATCATTTGTTGAAGAATGAGTCACTTTGAAGGCCGCACTGGCAACTACTAAAATAAACAAGCACGCTGTTAAGGAGTCCCATACTAGGATGAAACAGCTGTCAAGTGTTCCCAGGCTTCCATTGTTTTTCTAAGTGTTGTCAGTCCATGGTGAATACCAACCTGAAAGTCAAAATGATATGATTCGGAACACATGGTGGCTAGTTTACTGTAGAGGGAATCCGGTGAAGTCCTAGTAACGTTAGTTGGTAACGTCCGATTATTGATCATGAGTATCATCGGTGGGGATCTGTTCCTCTGATTAAGCCCAAAAGTAACACCCTATTAAGGTTTTCAGTAGCTTCATCTAGAGGAGAGTTTATAACTAACTCGGATTTGTAATGTCAAGAAGCTTTGCGTGTGTCGTTTTACACCTGGTTAATTTACTTGAAAATAGGGAGAAAAGTATCTTCCGCTATGTATTTGCGCTGTTTCTTCGAATCCCGTCACTCAAAAGATTTTTTAAGACAATCTTGTTTTGATTATTTTTTTCGTTAACAATAGTTGTATGTGGTATTTTAACATTTCAGAATATTGGCTTCATATAATCTTCCAGCAGCATTACAGGTTACTGGATCAGCCGTAATTCCAGATACTCTTTTGACTAAAGCTGCTTGTATACGTCGAGATGGTGGGGCTGGAAAATTATACGAACAGCTGACATCAATACCTGAATGTGTGCAACGTAATAAAGAGATTATTCAAGCCGTAAGATTTCACTAAGGTTTTTTAGAACTTGAACGTATTAGAGTTTTATTCAGTTAGTGTTTTAAGCTTGATTAGACTGAACATGATTTTGACGAACCGAACATATATTTATCGGTTACTGGACACCAATTGATACTAAGCAGCTATTTTATTCTGATCGGTGCCCTCTTAATCCCTATTAGCCTCATTAAAAGTAGTAGCATAGTAAGAGTAACAATATAAGCCTCAAAGTTACAAGTCTAAAAAAAAGATTACTGCACAGTTTGAAACCGTAGGTTTAATTTATTCGTGTAACGTGAATCAGGCGGAGTAGTGCGTTATTAGTATCCTTCCAAAACAATTACTTCACTTCCTTGTGGGGAGTGGATGCACTGACGACGATGTATGGTGTGACATTGAAACGTTTGCCAACTAAACCACAGCTCAACAACCCAATTTGAACACAGCCTAGAAAGTTTTGAGAGTACCGTATTATTTTAAGACTCACACAAAAGCCAGATTTTTGTATGGTTGTATATCTACTGTTTCGTGGTTTAGACTGCTAGGTTCAAGAATAAAATTGTTTCCGACTAATTTTTGTCGGGGAATATATTTATTTTCTACTCAGTAGTTTTTGTCTGTGGGTTCGTATTTGACTGTATATTAACTTTTTAATTTGTACCACACACACCAGACACTTGTGTCGTTACCCTTATATAATGAATAATAAATTCTGCTCGAAATGTCATCACTAAATAATATTGTTCCACGATGTGATGCTTATAAAACAACTGCAATGGAATAATAATTTCGACAGAGTAGAACATGTAAACATTGAAATGAAAAGAAGTAATTTGGTGGTATTGTGTTCTCCAACCTTGATGGTTTAATCATGGAGCTTTCATTATTATTCTAGACAACATCCTCAATAAAAACTTCAGAAAGAAGGGAGGTATGGGATTGTCTACACAAGTGGTTTAGTTGATTGTCCTGATGGGCTTGTGTGTGGTTTCTTGTCTCTGCTTAAATCTTGTCATTATCTTCATGCATATTTCGATTGGTCGTCCTGCCGACATGAACTCTGATCTTCTTTTTGTTTCTTGTTGTCTGATAGATTGGGTTGTCAATATGTCTGTTGATCACTAACTGACCTGAGTGTCAAGCTTCTAAAAATTCTCTGGCATTCTTTGTATTTTCTTTATTCAGAATTTCCACATTTTCCCAGTCAAATTCATGTCTACAGTTGTTCGTATGCATTGATATGAACGAGGGTATGTTACGACGCTTCACTTCTAGTTGATGTTCTTGTAGAAGGGGTACGAAGGGGGCGGCCACTATGTCCGATGCAGGTGTTTTTCACAGTTTCTGCAGTTGATTTTGTAGATAATGTTTAATTTGTCTTCCTTTGCTATTGCTTCTTTTGGCTTGCATAACAGAGGGCAAAGAGATTTTGTGGGATTGTGACGTACAGCGATTCAAAAAGGTTTCAATAATCTTGTCGTGATCTCGGATACTTTCTTCATGTAAGATAAGACAATCTATCTGTTGGTTTCCGTGGATGAAGTTTTGCTTGACGGTGAATTAGACAAACATCTTTTGATGAATCTCGCATGGATAGCCATTCTTCTGGAAAACAGTCATTCAGTAACTTTTCTTCCTTAAAGTTAATGTACTACGTTTTTATACAAGTGTATTGTTGCTACTTTAGTTGAGGATTTGATATGTATGAGTTGGTTTTCTGTATACTTCAGTTTCAAATTTTCTTGAATCAGTTTTTGTGGTCAGAACATCTGAAAATGGAAGTTTGTTATTTGATTCCTCTTCGATGGTGAATTTGATGTCGTCAAAAATGTTGATTGATTTGTAAGTGTTTTCTATTTCGTTTTTAAAAGTGATAAACGTCCACATATTGTACCCAAAGTTTTGGTTTGATCAACGGCAATAACACAGTTTCCACACTTTCCATTATTGTTTCCGCAATCAGTATTGATATAGGTGATCGTATTGGTGTCTCTTTCGTCTGTTTGTAGAGCTTGCCATTGAATCGGAAGTGTATTGTAAGGCATAGATCAATTATTTCTGTCAAACTTAAACACTAGTGGTGTGTTTTCCGAGAGGTGTCTATCACTTGTGAGGAGAAGAGTAATTTTATCCTTAGGCAGATTTGTTTCAATTGAAGTATATAGAGCTTTAGCGTCTAGAAAGACCACTAGTTCTTCGTTGTCAATATGCAAATGTTTAATATTTTCCAAAAATTGTTGAGGAGTTGATAGAGTAGTTGCATGATTCTACCAGATATTTCAGTTTTCTGAAGAGGTCTTTTGGTAAATTGTATACTGGAGTTGCTGTAAAAGTGGAACAATTGGTCGTAGTGGGATGTTTGGTTTGTATATTTTTTTGTCTACCATTGAAGCGTGGAACAGCGGGTCCATTAGATTTCGTTCGCCATTGCTCCTGTTTTGTTCCGCTCTGACGGGTTTGTTTAAGGTTTTGCTAATATGAGAGTCAAACTTTTGGATAGGGTTTGTTTCAGTTGGTTGATAGACATTTTGGTCTATGAGTAGGTCTTCCTCCTTTTTTATTTAGTCTTCCTTGTTCATGATTACTGTGGTGCACACTTTGTCAGGTGGAACAGTAACGATGTTCTTTTTATTCTTCAGTTTCTTGAAGGCTGTTGGTTCTTCATTGGCTAGTTGAATACAGTTTTGCTTCCGTCTAGCTAGATGCACGATTATTTGTTGTATTTCCTGTTGGGTCTCATTGTTTAGTCCTGAAGTCTTCAGTCGTGACTGTAGGTAGGCGAAGAATTCCAGTCTTTTAGTGTCTCCAGTATTGTAATCTGATTCTTTCTCAAGGAGAAGTTCCTTGGATTTGGTCAGTGGTTGCTTGGACGAGTTGACTACGCGGTCATTTGCTTCTTCCGCTCCTGATGCCCATAGTTTTGAAAATTAAACTAACTTCTCTTAAACAGTGTTTCTTCTCCATTCTTTGTATCGTTTGCTTGACTTTTCGATCGCAATTGCCTATGCTGTAAAGTGTTGTGTTGTAAGTATTCTATGAAGCTTTCTCTTTTGACTGTCAATAGTCTGTTGGTATTTTCGAATCCGATAAAGAGCATCGGTGATCATTAGCTGTAGTGATTACCTTCCACTTCTACTATTTTTCAGTCCATTGAACAGTCGATAGAGGTGGTCTGTATCTGACAATATTTGGCAGAATGTGCTGACATGGATACTTGTGGCGAAAATATGGTTATCTTTTAGAGGCCTGCCTCTTGATGGAGTTCCTCAATTTCCGTACAGTGAGAGGCATTTGGCGCTCGTGGGATGTTGGAGAATATTTGTAGTTCAGTAGGATGATTTAGATAATGCTTTGTTCTCTGAGCTGGATGGTTTGATCGTCAAGCTTTCAGTTTCAGTCATCAAGTTTATGGTAAACAATAAATAATCGACATCCAACCACACCCGGTACAGCCGTTAATGTACTAGAGTATGAGGGCTTATGATACTACTCAGTTGCCCAAATCAAACTTGATGAGACTTGGTTTGAATTTGTGATTGCTTGCCAGTTGGATGCTAAAACCACTAAACCACATTTCTACTACTGAGTACACCTTTTATTTTAACTCGCGCAATTGTCTTATCCGACCCATAAAATCATCTTCAGCAACTCCGTTTCCACATTTACCATGTTATTTCTTGATTTCGTTTAGTCATCAATCCGAACGTAGCCTACAGATATGCTAGCCACCGACCACAGGTTTACTAACTAGGTAGTTAGCTGCTTCTATCTTTTGGGCTTTTGCGGCAAATAGAAATAGAAAATAGAAGCAACAAATCAGAATCCGTAATCTTGACGTATACTGTCCACCAGTCATTCAGTAAGCATCAATGTGAGACCTGGCATTACTATGTAACAACAGTTCAAGTTACCACACCTCATAGCATATTAGGGTAGAAGGCACCAGAATCAAAAATAGCGAAATAAGGAAGAAATTAGTGTAAAGTGGTAAAGAGAAGTAAAAAGAAAAGAAGGATGAATGAGAAAATACTGAATTTAGAATGATGACTATCATAATAAAATAGAAATAATGTGTCACAGATTGAATTTGAGCCATGTGAGCTAGACTCTGTAACCACTGGTTACGGTTGTCACATGGACTCTAACGGAGAAGTCTACTTCTCTACACGACTCAGACTAACTATCATAGACCTCATTGACTGATACTATGTTTCAACAACAACAAACTCCAGTCACCATCAACGGGAGAAACTTAAAGGAAGTAACCTCCTTCACCTATCTAGGAAGCACTGTTTCAACTACAGGCAGCACAGGCACAGACGAGGATGTCAAAGTCAGAATCGGAAAAGCAAGACAGGCATTCATTAGCCTGAAACCAGTGTGGAGATCTTCTGCACTCAGCATGTGGAACAAGATCCGGATTTTCAACACCAATGTCAGTCAAGTCGGTGCTTCTGTATGGCTCAGAGACTTGGCGCGTCACGAAAGGGATTTCCAACAAACTACAGACATTCATCAACAACTACTTACGCTCGCTACTGAAGATCAGATGGATTGCAAGAAAGAATAAGCAACAAGGAGCTCTGGGAACGAACCAACCAAGAAGCTATCACGCAACAAATATGCAGAAGGAAGTGGAGATGGACTGGATTGGGCATGCAGTGAGAAGGCCGACTGAGGACATCACGCGTCAGGCCAGTTGCTCGAGTGGAATCCCCATGGGAAGCGACTAGTTGGACGTCCTAGGGTGACATGGAGGAGATCGTGCGAGGAGGAAATGAGAGGTTGTGGGCTGTCGTGGAACCAGGTTGAAAAGATCTCAGAGAACAGAGGTCACTGGAGACGTGCTACTGAAGCCCTATGTTCCACTAAGAACCCAAGGGACTAATAATATAATAATAATGTTTCAGTCTGGTCACATTTTATCAGGTTGAACTCACTTCACCTAACAGTAAACGGGTCTGTGTAACATACGCTGAAGCCATCGATGAAGGTCACTGAGGGTTCACAACCACACCAATTCATTCAGTATATTTAAATGAAAGTCTGCATATGACTACGGCTTTACTGACATGATTATACCACTACAAGGCCTGTGCTTCAATGACAAATGTTGTCAAACACCTAAAGCCTTCTCATGTCCTCTACCTTTAATGTCCTTGTTTCACTGGCGTGCAGTGGGACAGAGCGAACTATAGCGAAGTACACTTGACCCATAATAGACAATCCGATATCATGGCGGCGCCATATTTGACTTGTTTACGAAAGCCATTTAAGCCTTTTGTATCCATGCAAAGATTTTGTCGATCACTTACTCACCTGGGTTGATCCCACTCCCCAGGTAAGTGAAGTGTTCAACGTACTCAACCACTTCACTCCATATAGTTAACCGGGGTACTGCTGAAGACCAGTCCCGGAACAACAGTGTGCATTTAGCTGGCGAGAAACGGTTCCGAGACATCCTCAAATAACCATTCATGACGTCCAGAAGACAACATGTTTTCAGCGTTTTCATATAAAACGACTGTTATTTACTACGACGTCAACCCCTGTAAAGTCAAACAGGATACATTATCCTTCAGAATCACGTCTATTACGAATGACATAAACATAGAAAGAGTGTACTTCCTTCGCGAACTTCACCTGATGTACACAGCTCACCTGATAACTCACCTCAAGCTGTAAGCCTTCAACAGTATGACGCACTCACCTGGCATACCTTTAAGTGAGGAACACTGTTGTAAAGGCTTGTTGATCGATAAAGCCGAATAGTTCCTTCAGGTTGGAAAAAATAGCTAGTATCGGCGCCTATATGCGTGCATGTTTTGCAAAATCTGGCAGAGAGTGAATATGTGATCAGTATACTCACTACCTGCCTGATTTTTTAAGTTTGCTGTTCCAAGGCTTCACTTAAATATCAAATGATGAAAGGAACTAGAAGCTGAAAAATTATGTTTCTCAAGCAAATTTATGTACTTATCTCCATATACCGGCTAACACTTCAGTCAATATGAGCAATAATCTTCGTAATTTGTCCTTAAATACCCTGGAACTAACCCATCTTGTCTTTGTACCCTTACTTGTTTTGGATTGTCCACATCCTCAGTTGCTGCAAGAGTATAGGGGCCTATCTACGTATCCCATTCAGGATCAAACTGAGCGGAGAACGACGGAATAGTAACTCAAGACTAGTTGAGCTGTTCCTCCAAATGTTCCACCCATCGTATCAGTAATCTCAACCGCAGACCCATCCTCTGCTATATTCTCACTAACCACCGACCGTTTCGTCCCAGTTTCCTTTAATAGTCTGAATATCGCCGTTGTCTTTTCCACCTGATTAGCCGTCTCCCTCCACCGCTACTGGCAGTCATAGTGTAAACCTTTTGTCAGTCTACATTTGAGTTGCATTCGCTCCTCATTGCACTCGGAGCCTGCCGGGGTGCGTTCGTTTGCATCCATCAATTCAGAGGAAGTTGCTGTAATCCACTTACCCTTTCTAGTCACTTTTTGGTAGTTGGCTGCAGTCTACAACGCTGTCTTTACAGTGAACTGGAGATGACACTAGGCTTCTGCTCTATAAATTTTGTTGTTCTGTTCCGACAACGGTATAGCCTGTCTTTTACTGAAATCAACCTTAGTATTTTTCATCGTCAAGCCATATTTGAAATGGTCTGGATGTAGTTTCCCCACGTCCATGTAGGAGCAGATATACGCATATCTGAACCAGCATGTGAACATTGTTCAAACACCTGATTCAGAAGAAGTGACAATCTTTAACTGACTCTCCAGAGATAACTGTCTACTGTTTGGTTGAGCTCAGTGTTCGCTATGTTAGACAATGTCTCTTTATATCTGAAACTTGTGCTGGCTATGGTTAGGCTGAATTCTCCTGTATATAGTTTAAAGTGTAGTTTTGAGAGATGCGCACAATTTCCTTACTTGCATCTTTAAGTTCCACAAGCTTTTATTATTACAGAGTTGTTTTTGTGTTAGGAGCAAACATCATTGGACAGTGAAGAAGCATCTGATAATAATTTACGAGCACAGTATGGAGAATGTTGGAGACGAAAACGGTCTAGTGAGCTGACTATGACTTGGCGTTCTGATATACAAAAATGTTTAAATTTACTTGAACAAGTAAGTGATGAATTCTGTGGTTTGTGGCTTTTTATTTGTAGATCTTTTGTAAAGTATATACTTTATCATTCAGCAGTTTTAATTTTAATATATAAGGTCCGTTGGTCGAAAGGCATAAACTTACTACTTCCAATGATATCAGTTCGTTTCCGTAGAGTTGCATCTGACTAATTTCAGCACTCAAATTTAGAAATATATCTAAATCCCATCCCGTTATTTGAATTTAGCAATTAGATGGTATCATTACCTCTCATGGATTGTATGGTTGCCATATTTGTGCAGAGACTCATATGCATTTGTAAATTTGCTTCTGCCATTAAAAAATCTACCTGTAGTACATTGTTTTTATTTGTTTCTATCTGGCGATTTTAGTTATTTTTCAGACAGCCTAATCCAAACTGCAACTGAGAATATAGGTTAGCTGATTCTTGTGTACCAGAAAAACCCCGTTTTCATTGCAATGTCAGTGTGGTTACAAACTGAGATTTTCTAGCTTGAAGGAGTGTCTTACGTTGCGTACACAATGGGCGACACTACCGTAGTGCTTTTTTCATTCTATAGATATTTCAAATCGCCCATTTCTCTTTTCCATGGTTACATATGCTGAGGAAGAGTAGAATAGAGGAGCAGCATCATTCTACTGAACCCCTAGCTTTTTGGTTTTAGAATGGAGTCAGTGTAACAACCGAAATCGATGGTTTTAATCTCCTAGTTTAACTGTTTAGTTCTCATTTCAGTGGCCCAGATTCACTTACATCTTATCTTCACCCTAACCATTGTGTCACATTTTGTCACTTACCTTGATCTTTTCCTTTTACAACTTTCTTTGATATTTGTGTCATGATATCCATTTCATTGGTTTCACTTTTGTTGCCTTTCACCTTTTCTGTGATTTTTTGAGGTCTGGTAACTTGAATCGTTATGTAGTAATATCAGTCCTATATTGATAATGACTAACTGAACGCATCCAAATTTATGGGTACATATGAAGAGACAAAAGACAAACACGACGGAAATAATGTTCATTTCGGAAAATTGGAACGGTAGTCGTTACATATGATACACCTTGCACTAACCCAGTCATTTACAAATGTGCTTCGTTCCTCTTCTGTTCCTCTCCTAATTTGCTCTTGATCTGCTCTTCATACATTCTTATCAGCAGCATCCACTGTAACACGCCTGCGTTATCCCTTGCGTTGCTCTTGGCAGAAACCCGTGGGCAGAATTCCTACCCATTGCCGGTAATTACCTATGATTCCTGCCACCCTCTCAGCACATACTACTTACATCCATTGTTATCAGCAACGCCCACTACACAAATACTAAATCAGAAGTTTTAATTTTCGGAAATACAATCTCACCTTTTTAACTTCATCGTGCATATGTTCATATCTTTCCTATAATTCAGTAATTACAAGGTATCGATGTTAATCCAGTAAGCTACGCAAGATGCCGGCTTGTATAATGCTGTTTGTATTATGTTCGGTTAGATTTTTCCAGATTGTGTATACACAAATAATGTGTAGTTAAGGTTGTCATGTTTACGAAATTTTTCAGCTTAATATTGAAAACATTTTCTATTCTGTTCTGTTTCCCTTTCAGACGACAAAAACAGATGCATCCCTACTGGAAAGATTTGAAAAGCATAAGAGCTACATAGAATTGCTTAGCAAACCGGAGGACGAACTTGTAAATGCAATTCGATCAGATGCCAATTCTTCGACAACGAGGACTGGTGGAAATAACGAAGAGTTACGAACGGAATTGAGTCAGCTATGCAACAATTTGGAAGTAGTTAAAACTGAAAGAAGTGACATCATGGACCAACTGAAATTAATTGATTTCCCACCAGATTTAGGTAAGTACATTATGCAATTTGTTATACATATTTTGACCATAGTTATTTGACCAGTTTTTCATCTGTGGAACATTGATTTGGTTATACAGGATACTTGTTCAGGTCAGTACTTAACAACTGACTGCTTATGATCCTGTGATCTATACGCGCGGAAACCTTTTCCTAACTTGGTCTTAGTTAACCTGACATGTAAACTTTGCTAGGTTCGCAATGGTCATAAGTTTAAATCCTGCTTTCATTAATGACTGTATGAAAAAGTTAATCTGCTCAAAGCTAACCCGATTAGTTTTATATTGTGGCTTGTACTATTTACACAGATGAAAATAAGTAATATGTGATGTAATGTCGACGAGTTGTTACTAACTCAGTAGGAGTTATTGAGGTGAAAACAAGAAGCATCGGAAGGAAATACAAAAGACAAGCGATGAAGTGACAGAAATTGGTTTCAGATATATTTTTTCCTGAAATGTGTTTAATGCAAGGTTTTCATATTTTACTAGTACTTAGTGTAATTTGCTAATAAACCATTCTGTTAGTTCTGCACAGTTTTGTTTTTAAAGTAGTTATCACTTTCTTTGGACGGGATGAAACTGACCTGACTTCAGGTATTCGACTAGCGCGGTATGATGAGGTTTCTGATGAAAATCGAGCTGGTAGACATCCAAACTCCAAAGGCAAAAGTGGAGATTTACGTGGTTTTTTCAATGTGTGAAATGAAAGAGGTGTACGGCAGCGTGAAGGCAGCTGACACAAGCGTCGTGGGACAGTGTTGTGGAATTGATGTTCGCCAAACTGGACAGCTTAACAGATAGACAGGAATCCAAGCTGAGGCTTAGGTTTGCAAAGCTCAATACTTACGACTATATGTTAGTATTAATATTGAGCATTGCCCATCTAGTATAAGGAGTTTCAAGCATAGTTTCCAGCATTATACCTAATTGAGTATCCTTACTGTTATCACACTAAAGCTACAGACAGTAAATGCCACACAACTGATAGATAACGAATCGGCTGAAGTGACCATGTAGCTAATGAGTTGACCTGTGGTACCGATGATGAGTGAGTATCAAGAAATGAGGTTTGACGAGAAGATAGGGAAAGAACTCTGAGACCAGGCATTGGCCATCCGGTTAAAAGTCAAAAAGGACAGTAAATACTTCGCTTACAAAAGAACAGAGTGTTAGTAAAGAAACCGCCTAGTAAGAGAAACATGTAGCTATTCAATGGGAGAAAAAAAGTCTGGATGGACTCAGCAACATATTGCACATTCGTGCAGTTGGCGATGAGCCACACCTATGAGAGCTAGTGATAATACCTGGCTCCCTAAACCTCGGCAGGTAGGGCGGAGCTCGAACCCGTGACTAGTTGATTGAAAGTCACCTTCCTAAACCAATGAGCTACAGTTCCACTAGGTACTTAATACAGCACATCTTTCTCTACTTCTTTTCGATAATAAAGGAGGGGTGGGGAGTCAAAGTAATAGATGCGAAGCAATTTGTGGAAGAATAGTCATAAATGAGCAAGTATTTCTACCTTTGGTCTATTCAGGGTTGGCAATTTTCGTTAATCGATAACTGCCAATATCACAGCGTTGAAACCATGGACAAAAGCAGTTGGCGTGTGTTAAAGGTTTTAGAGATTTCAAGCTGTCTTGAAAATAGGTGATTTCAAAGTGTCCTATCCGTTCACTGTAACCACAGATGTACAGTGATTGATACTGGGAACGGACTTCATGAGAGAGGTAAGAGCGATACTTTACCCGGAAGGTAAGAAAGTGACCGAGAAATATGATAAATTCCTAATACTTAAAAGCAGAGAATTAACGGAAGCAGAAGTAATAATTACAGCCATTTTTGTGAAAATCACTGAATGTAAACCAGTTAGTGATGAAACATAACAATTTATTCACTGGAGATGGGGAACCCGTTGGATTTTGTAATGATGTTAAACATGAGATTCCAATAAAAAAAACCAGGGAATGTGATGATAGCTGGAACTCTTCAAATTCATGTTCATGTAGAGTCAGCTCCACACCTATCGCCTTGATGCATTAGACATGAAAATGATCTCAGCAACTAATAGTTTTAACAGCTCACGCGTTCTCTTATTGAAGAAATACTATGGGAAGTATAGGACTTAATACCATAATCGAGCTTAATGTATGTGCAATGGTGGCGGTGATTTCGGAATACCTCCCCCACAAGATGGATCACGAATGTCCGCACTAGTGCTTACAGGCATTGTTAACTGAAAAACTTATATCAAATCGCATACTACCTGGGTATGAGATGACGTTGTAAAGATTATTCTGACCTGTCCTAAGTGTCAACTGACGAAAGGTGACCAGTGCATGCGACCGTCGTTGCAGTCTATCCCAGTAACAGCATTCAGTGATTTATAGTTCATCCTAATAAGTATACTGGCTATCGATTAGTATGTATGGTTCTGGTATATCAGGGCGCTTTATATAAGAGTGATAAGTTTAAATCCCACCTGAAACATTTTTTTATCAAGAAAATGTATGTATTAAGTAGAGTAAGAAGAGGAAAATGTTCGTTATATCATTCTATCAATAAGGCGTTCTGCCAATAAACAATAATAGTCACTGATTTTTAATTTTTTTTATATTTTTTTATAACTACTTCGTATGGTAGTAGATTGTACAATATTGACTAGAGTCAAACTAAGGTACACCATGACTTGGGGTAATTAAACAAGGATTGTTGTCATTTATTGTTAACTAAAACCGTTGCGGAATCTTTATATTTTGTGTCTGGTTTAAGAAATGTAAGAGTAATATATAGTTTGGTGATGCATAATGACACGATATAAGATCAACTTCAGTAACGTAAATGTATCTGTTGAGCAATTTACCATTCTCTATTCGTAGCTTATACAGAGATCAAAATACTAGGATGTGAATCACACCTACCTTGTGAAAGCTAGTGATACAAGTTGGTTAGGAAGACTGACTCTCATTAATAGGAATGCGTTTTCAAAACCTACCGTATATGTAGGGAAAAACAATATGGGACCTGACAATTGTGAATCTGTCCAAAATTCACATCTGGGCATCAAGTGAACATCGACTAAGGGCAATGTGAAGAAATAAAAATAATATTAGTGGCTATCGATTAAAGAGAAAAGTGAGAAACAGTAATAAAATGGTTAACATCTCGGTGTACATACACCACCACAATTGATTTTGTGTATCATATTACTAATTTCACGAACGTAAGCCTAAACCAATAAAATACATGTCATTTGACTATCTGAGATAGCCGTAATTTGCCAGACTAGTATTTATACTGGGTGATGATTGCAGGTGAAATGAAAATTTGGACTGTGGCCAAATTCAAACTAGCGACCACCGGGTTTTCACTCCGATGCTCTACCAACCGTTGTAGACCTCGCAGCTCAGTTGGTAGAGCATCGGGCTGGAAACACGGTAGTCGCTGGTTCGAATCCGATAGCGGTCAAAATTCTTACTTCACTTTCAATCATCACCCACAATAAAATACAGTTCTCACCGATTGTTGCATAATCAGTTTCCTCCAGTAATCTGGTTTAGTACAACAGAAAAAACAACTTAAATTATTTTTTTAATTTCACCTTTGCAATTTTAATTATCGATTTATTCTGAGGCCTATTTTTATGATATAATTTGGGCTTTGTTTACTGAAATCTATTTTATTGTTCATATTCATAAGCGGTGTTTAACAGAAATATGTGCCTAGGCTACACTTATTGCTGGAAATAACACCTTCTTCTTGTTCATTGAGTTTTAACTCACAGGATTACTTCCCAGCTCTCTCTAGTGGGCACATTCTTTCGGACAATATTCGACTAACTATTACGAAAGTGCTAGTGAGATATCAGATCATCTATCAGAGGACAAGTATACTTCTTTGCTGTCTACTCTGTCTTATTGTATGACTCTGAGATCACTAAAAGAAGATATTAAAAAATCACAAGTTTTTGACTACTTGTCGTAACTTTGCTCGTGTGTGGATGTCATCACGTGTTCAATACCAAGATTAGACGGAGGATACTAGACACGGAAAGCAAGTCAGAAGTTGTGAACCTTTACCTACTGATAAGGTTGGGCATGCTCAGACTCTGCATACCTAGCCATACTGAAGTAGGATTGAGTTGGTTGAACCATGTAGGGAATAAATGTTTAGAAACTATTAGTGATCTGACTTGACATTTATCAAAGTGGTGCAGATGTATTCACTCTTTGACATTTTCAAAAGTTTGAACATATTCACTAACCTTCACTTTTAAAATTCTTTCATCTTCTATACACTTTGGCTTGCTTTAATATCAGGTTTTACTTTTCGTGCTGCTGTGAAGTGTTTCAACTTGAACCAATGCAATTTTATGCTAGGATTTATGTTGGTTTGTCTGTCTGAGTTAACACCTATGGAGTGAAAATAAAAGTTAGTACCATAAGCATCAACTGGGGAATTTATTTATCTTTTGTTTTATACACTGTATATAAATATACAAAAAACATCTCAATGTATACTTTATCAGTGTATCACATTTTCTTTCTAATTTTATTTTATTCCTTGAGGTCTAAATATGCCACTAAATTAACTTTTTGCTTGTCAAACATCTGTACTCGGTAAAGTTGCGAATAAGTTAAATTAACTTTTTATTTACAGTTGAATTTTCCCGTTTCTTAATCTGACTTTGTACACATTTTTATGTATATTTGTACTTCTTTCTTCCTCTGTAGTCAATAAGCTCGTAACATACCATCGTGAACATGGTGAAATAATCGACTTAGATATTGCTACTAATATGCTTAATGAAAAAATGGTAACTATTCGTGAACTTATTCGAGAAAATTTGAACAAACAAGAATCCTTACTAAATACATTGCAAATGAAAGCAGATATGTTTTATGGTGGATCGGATAGTAATACTTTAAAAAGTAAAGGCCTTCTAACAATGCTTAATGTTGCTGCAGATGAATATTCTGCACTTCAAGAAGCTGTTCGTGATGCAATGAAATTTTATGCTGAACTCACTGAAATCTGTTTAAATACACAATCGAAAGTAAGCTCTTGCAAATCATTTTGTTGAAATTTTGTTTTGATGACTTGCTATTAATAAAGCAATTGATGAAAATTAAAAAAAATACTAAGAAGTGTTTTGATTAAAATATCTTTTGCGATTGAACCCACCTTCACTTTTTGCATCTATCAGTCGCTGAGGCGGGTACCTTGGTGTGTGTTTAATTCGTACTGGTGTTATTCAACTGATTTCAATTCTTCTGATTCATTGTTGACTGTTTCTTACTCATCTAAGTTAAAGTGTAGTTAGTTATCCAGTAGACTGAAATTCATCTGTTCAAAAAATGAAATCATTTTGTCATGATTTGCTGTTTTGATAATCACTTTTTATTGATTTAAGCATTGTTCACGTTTTGCAGTCTAGTGCATCCGTTATTTTTCATTATGGGTTAACACTAGCTCTGCTGTTCTTTTAGATTTTCAATAGTTCACCAACTGACGTCAGTTCATGGTGAAACGCCGTTTTAGAATGTATTTCCCTCTCATAAAACTATGGGTCAAACAGTACTCTCTCTCCAAATTGTTTTCACAATACGGGAATCCCTTTATTTATAAGCAGCATCTTATATTATCCTCCTTTTTGGTTGTGGAATTTATTACTGTGAAAGCAATTATTGGGTTTCACTCAAACTTTTCCTAACTATCTGCGGAACTGCATACACAGTAATGTCATTCGTTAATATCTTTGACTAATACGAGACAATCATCCGATTACAACCTAATTGATGCTGTACTCAGTAATGTCGTTGGTTAGTGTTCTGATCGGTACAGTATTGCATTGCAAATTGTCTTTCACTAAGTGTTTGGAGGTAATATGCAAGAAGTTGATCTACTCCCTGCAGGTTATCTGGTTGACTTAGAGTATGTAGACGATATTGTCGAGCTGGGGGAAGATACTGACGCAATGTAGGGTCTTCTGAATGCATTGAGCAGAAGTCTGAGTATGTTTGACATACATTTCCCAACTGTCAAATGCAAAATAGTCTGCTGCACCTACCTTTGGTTCAATGATAGTGAATAGAGTGGTGGGATGTGTCGACTACTTCACTTACTTCGGGAGTTGCATCAACCCGGACGGGCTCGTTGGTGATAAAATCTCAACTCGGTTACAGAAGGCCCGTTCGGCATTTGTCAACTCGCATCACCTGTGGCACCAACTAGCGAGATATCCGACCATCTATCAAATGATGACTATACTGCGCTGCAGTATGTTATATTGTTGTTAACATGGCCATTGAAAGTTATTTCTCTCATTTCTGTACAAATTATTTGACTACGTAATTCACTGGTTATATATATATATATATATATATATACACTAGGTGACAGACAAAAGAATGCATTCTTATTGTTTTTTTTCACACAGTTGCCGCTTATATTTACGTTTTGTTTGTTTCTCTTATAGATCGAAGATTTTTGCGCTGCTCGTACAACAGAAAAGAATGAATTAATGTCTGACATTACATCCAATTTAAGCCGAGTTCGTGTTTCTGACCAACAGCCAATGCCAAAACCAGCTGGTAAGTTTAAGTTTTAATTTCCGGCATGTTTCCATAAGGTTTTTTTTTCAATAGCTTTTCTTAAATATTTCCCAGATAACATTCTATGTCGACAGTAACCTATAGCTATAATACTTGTACAATAACTCGTTGATTGCATATTTTCTGTTTCTGGCTAACAATTTTTGTTATACTTCGGTTTTCATTTAGTACCTCCTGGTCGACCTGATCCTACTTATGCTAATTCTGTTAATCCAACCCCCACACAGCCCACGGTTTCAATGCCACAACCACCTATGGGTAGTATGGTTAATACACAGTACCAAATGCCTGGACAAGCGTGGGTTCCCCAAGGTTGTAAGTTATTTTAATTGTAAAATATAATTGTGGATCTATTGTATATTACAGCTACTTATATCAAGTCATCATCTCCCACTCAAAACGGGTTAGATAACCAACTACGTAATTTGTTTTTGCAGGGATTGGAAAACCTATTCATATTTGCATTTATTTATGCTGAGCCGTTGTAATCTCATACCACTTTTCCTGTTCAGCTAGTAACTAATTTATGGTCCCATACGGCGGGGAGGGGGGTGTTTTTAGGTATTTTGTAGTTGCTTTGTATCGTTAATGTTATCTAATAATTCACGCATTTGGTTCCAATCTACTGGATCGTGCCCTCAAAGTTACTCTTTATACTGTTGTCACGATGGATGATTTAACTTGTGCACGAAATAAGTTTGGCTCTGTGTATCTTTTACCAACTTTACGGTACACATGCCAAAACTCAAACTTAGAGAGTACGCAGACTGAGTCGCAAACGTCTAATAAATTCCCTTAGCCTACCTAGTGAACCATTTTTGTTACGTCCACATCTTTATCGTCTTACCTTATGTCAATTCGCGTACTTGGGGAGATTGGATCACCAATTACGTTAAAATTTGAAAAATTCACGCGGATATTTTCTTTCCGAAGTAACTTGTAAGTACATGGAGCGATCGGATGAACGGTTCATGCAATCTACATCTCTGTTATGTTTTTCTTTATGTGCACCGTTTTTGTTATCATTGTAACAAATATTCCCTTTATTCTCTGTTTTTCATCTTATCCAGTTCCCATGATGGCTCCAGGTGCACCACCATATGGTAAGATTTAGAAATGCTTCACTTTCGTTCATTTGTTGTTATAAAAAAAATTAACTGCTTTATTTAAGCGCATTTAAACTGAGGAAAGGCCGAATCGTTTTTCTTTGAAAATTTTGGGTAGTGAGTTGGCGCACTTCCTTGTGTAGCTGCGCTTTGATGTCCAAGTCAATCAATATGCAGGGTGAATTTAAAAAATGATACTGTTTGACCATGATATTCGATTATCGCGCTGCAGTTCGCTGTGTTTTATGGCTTTGAAACATGTCCATTAAAGGTAGAGAACATGTTGAGGCTTCAGGTGTTTGACCAATATGACTTTCGTAACACAGAATGTGTGTCACAGTGTCAGAACCCTGAGACCACTTCGTGTCGCTGGCATACAAGAGTATAAAACGGACTGCTGCGCAGTATGCTGGTCTTTTGATAGATAGTCGGACATCTCGTGAAACGGCGCCACGGGTGGGGCAAGTTAGAAAATGCCAAACGGGCTGAGATCTCGTCAGCAGCCAGCCCGTTCGATGCATTTGATCACTTCGCTCTCCTTCATCAAACCAGAAATACTTGCAAGTAGACCAGTCCTGGAGAGTCATCTTATATTTGACAAGCGGAAACGCATGTCAAATATACTCATATCTGATCAACGCGTCCAAAAGCCTCTGCATTTTGTCAGCGTTTTCACCTAACAGGTCGACATCGTTTGAATACTCCAAGTCAACCAGAAGACCTCCAGAAAGTAGATCAATCTCTATGAAGTCATACTTACTTAAGGTTATGTCCATTAGAACGTGGATAAGGAAATTAAACAGAAACAGTGACTGTGGACATCCCAGCAAACCTCACGGTCAACAGTCGAATGCCACCTGCAGGTCAAGAAATATGACGTGTCGGCCGCCGGTAAGTATGTCTGTGTTCTAAAACCTGTCGAAAGGTAAAAATCTGATCGGTGCATCCTTTTCCAGGTATGAAAGCTACCTGGTTTTCTCGAGTTTTCTGTTTTCGGTACCCAGCTAGGCGTCAGATAACTATAGAGTCTACAATCTTGAACACGATGTTACTCAAACTGATTCTCTTATGGTTGTCACAAGAAGTATTTTTCCTCTCTTCATGAACTGGGATGATCAATGAAGTGCACCAGTCTGATGGCACTACCTTTAATTCCGTTACACTACGCAGTACCTTCGTTATTTCAGTTGTCAACTTACTACCTCCATCCTTGAAAAGTGTTAGATCGTGCTGCTTTGGATCGTTTCAAGTTAGATACAGCTTTCTCAATTTCATGGGAAGTTGAAGGACCGACATCTTCTCATTCAGGTTCAGGCTGGATTTTAGGCATCTGAAGCGTTGCTGAGGTCCAATTGAATTGTGCTTCCAAGTGTTCTGCTCAACGTTCTAGCCACCTGTCCTGGGAGGTTATCAGCTTCCCATCCTTTTCTTCTTTCAGGTTACCTTAATAAGCCTAAATAGTTGCTGAGTATTACCCAATGCTGATACCTTTATCATCTCTCGCTTTCACCACTCACTACTGCTGGCGATTTACGCTTTGATGTTGGCCGACTTACGCTTGAATTGCGTTCGCTCTTCATGATGGTCACAGGCATCTAGAATCAGTCTTCTTGCACCACTGAGTTCGGATGACGTCGCGGAAATTGTAATTGAAAACCATGTTGCAATATAATTTTGTGTTCATGAAATGAATAATACCTCCAGAATGTTCTAGGTTAATTTTCCGATTTTCTCTGCTACAAATGGGGGGTCATTGTCGAGTCGAATTTGAAGAAAGCGTATAAACAAGCTTATCGATTCTCCTAAATGAAATAATTATATATGACTGTTATGAGCTTTCTTACGGACTTGAGAATTATATTTTAGACTGCTAAACGACAATAACATGCATTTTAGGACCTAAAGTTTATGATATATAACTCAATACAAATCATCTGTGCATAACTAGTCCCTTTTTTAAAAGTATCTCTGTTGTTTGCTGCAGTAGGTATTCTTATATCTGTTTTGTATTTTGTTACCACCGTTTCAGGTATGGCTCCCTATCCAGCTATGTATCCTTACTATGGTGGTTATGCTCCAATGCCAATGCCTTCAAATCCAGCCTTTCCTCCTGTACCTATGATGCCTCCTCATCATATGGGCGGTGGTAACAATGCTAGTGGACATCAAGGGCAATACTTGCCTGGACAGCCTTCTGCTCAACCCTAAAATTTATCCTGATAAATAGTTTATTTTCTTTCTAACATATCTTGGTTTGATTGCTTTGTGTGTGTGTTTGTTGGTTTGTCTGTATTCCTTGGATCCGACAAAAAATATCCCATGTGTCTTGATTTTTCCCTTGACAATCTGTTCAACGATTTGATTACTTGATTAAAATCCTTTTTTACACGTTAACCTTCTCTTTTGATAAGATGCATAAAAGCTACTTCTCTTTTTCAAAGTAAAATTGGCTACTTAAGACTATGCAGAATACAATTGAATTGCGCCGTGAACACTTCTATTGCAAAAATGGACACAATAAGTATGTTTGTGTAGGTACGTAATATGGGTTTTGAAAAAACAAAATGTCATTGTTTTATTTGATATATATATATATATATATATATATATATATACTCTTCCACTCTATTATGATGTTGTACTTCCTATCTCTTGTACCTAAAAATAAACACTTTTTTACGTGCAAAGCAACACAATATTTTGCTATTGGATTTGGTTGAGCTACTAAGCATTACGGATAAATCAGAAGTAACATGCATAACGAAGCATTATGAGGTATTCAACAGTTATTGTTTATTGATACTTGTAATTTCCCGTTACTGTGCTGAGATGACAACCTCTACTTCTGTTGGCAGTAGGGCTCCTACGTGGGTGCTTCGGAACTGTCGAGTTTTCATTATATTGTAGTTTATTTGGTGAATAGCAGCGGAATCTAGGATGCACATTTCGCCCTATTTGGGACTCGTCAGTCAGATGCACTTGCATCCCAGTGCGTACACTGTTCCCACTAAGACTTGGACCCAGTGCCCATCGTTTCAAACGCCAAAGCGTTGCCCACTGTGGCACGAGAGCCATCTAGTGGTTGGCGTTTGAAGCGATGGCCACTGGGTTCCAGTCCCAATGGGAACATCATTCACTGGGATACAAGTGCATCCAGCTAACGAGTCCTAAGTACGACGAAACGCGCTTCCTAGATTCCACTTTTAGTCAACAAATAAACTGTATTTGGCAGTTATTTTATCTTAATTCCTCAATTGTTATTTGTCTGTGGAAATTGCATTTCACTTACCAGTCATATGCAGTGGGCTTGTATGTTATTGAATTATTTTGTTTATTGTACAAATTTAGTACAGCATTATTATCAAGGGGTACTCCATATAAAGTAATAATCCAACACATTTTATAACTGTAGAACCTGGTGAAAATTTATTGGAAAGAAATATCATATGTTCATATTGTCTTTTCATCAACACTAAGAAGACACTCATGCTACTAGTGAGGTTCACAAAAATTTCGACAACTTCAAGCCATTGACCAACAAGGTTGAGTGCAGGTACAGACTTGTGTCAGTCTTGTACAAATACTTTGCTCTTCGATGGTACAAAGCACATATCGTGCGTACGTACACTGATTGAGTGCCATTTGAGTAGTCTATATCCTGTTACATCATAAAATTACGTCGTCCGCATACTTGAGGTTGACACGTCCTTCACCTTGTAGCAGGTCTACACCACCACTGCGCGCTTCCTTCAGAGTTGTCTGTAGAATATCGATTGCAAAATATAAGAGGAAAGGTAAAACTGAGAAGCCTTCTCCAACTTTATTATTGGTTTGGAACAGTGGAGACAAGTAGTTGTGCATCTTCACGTGAGGTTTTGAAGTAAATTACTTTTAGTATGCTAGAATACTTCTCTACGATACTTCTCTCTAACATAATTCCGGCGTATAACCGTGTCCAGTTAATCGAATGCAGCACTATTATCGAGAAATAATTATCGTTAGCCTGCAATACGTATGGAGGTGTTCAAGCATTTTGAGGGGTGTGGACATGCAATAAATGCATCCATGAAATGAATGACACCCAGACTGCTTTATACGTATAAGATTTTCACACGTTTTGAAGTCTGAAAGGTTGAATAGAAACCAACACCTTAGAAGCTGATAGCCGACTGATTATTATTATTATTATTAGTCCCTTGGGTTCCTAATGGAACATAGGGCTTCAGTAGCACGTCTCCAGTGAACTCTGTTCTCTGAAATCCTTTGAATCTGGCCCCACGATAGCCCAGAAGCTCTCATTTCCTCCTCGCACGATCTCCCCTATGTCACCCTCACCTCGGACGTCCAACTAGTCGCTTCCCATCGGGGTTCCACTCAAGCAACTGGCGTGGTGCGTAAAGTCCCCAGTCGGCCTTCTCAGTGTATGCCCAATCCAACCCATCTCCACTTCCTGCTACTGCATATTTGTTGGGTGATGGGTTACCGCTTGGTTGGTTGGTTGGTTGCCAGCCCTCCAGCCAGATTTCCTTGATACTTATTCTTATTATTCTGGCCATCTGATCGGTCTTCATTATCGAGGGAGCATAGGCGGTAGTGGTTGATGAATGTCTGTAGTTAGTTGGAAATCCCTTTCGTAACACGCCAAGTCTCTGAGCCATCACATAGAAGCACTGACTTGACTGACATTAGTGTTGAAAATCCGGATTTTGTTCCACATGCTGAATGGAGTGCAGTAGATCTCCACACTGGTTTCAGGCTAATGAATGCCTGTCTTGCTTTTCCAATTCTGACTTTGACATCCTCATCTGTGCATGTGTCGCCTGTAGTTGGAACAGTGCTGCCTAGATAGGTGAAGGAGGTTACTTCCTTTAGCTTTCTCCCCTATGTGGTGATTGGAGCTTCTTGTTGTTGTTGGTTGGGTATCTTCATCACCTCTGTCTTCTCCATCTTCACTTGTAGTCCCGTCTTCGCCACCTGCCTCTTCTGCCAACTTGTTAGTTTTCGCCTGTAGATCTTCGAGTTTGTGTGACATCAGGCACAAGTCATCGTTGGCGAAACCCAAGTCTTCTAGGTTCTTTTCCGCGGTTTAGCCATCGTATGCCCCTCTTCTCGCTCGTCACAGTTGGCTGTTGCATGATCCAGTCGACCACAATCAGGAATATCATGGGTGGTGATAGTAGGCAGCCTTGTCTTACTCCTGTCACCTGTCTTCACTTCGAAAGCATCACTGAGCTCCTCGTTGTGAATTACTTGTCATGTGACTTCTACATACAATTGTTGAATGATATTGATAAAGGTTTATGGTATTCCGTAGTGTTGAAGCAACTAACTGCCTGCCAAATTACTTGTCAGTCGATGCTTTCGAAGGCCTTTTCAAAGTCGATGAGGTTGAGGTAGAGGGTTGACTGCCATTCTATACTCTGTTCTATGATGATGTGTAGTGTAGCGTTGCAATTTGGTCCTCACATGATTTGTACTTCCTAAATCCAGCCAGCCTGTTCCGGTCGTAGTTTTAAATCCAGTACATCCTATAGCCTCTCCAGGATGATGCGGCTTAATATTTTGCTTGCTTTGGGTGGACAGCAGTGTGATTCCGCGCCAGTTCTTACGAACACTGAGGTCTCCCTTCTTCGGCAGTTTGACAAGGTAACCCTTCTTGCAATCGCCAGGTACCTTCTCTTCCTTCCATAACTTCTGCATTAGTGGTGTGAGCATGTCCGCTGTTGTCTCTGCGTCTGTTTTCAGTGCTTCTGGCGGGATCCCATCTGGTCCTGCTGCTTTCCTGCATTTCAGTATCTTTATGACGTTCAGGACTCCGACTTTTGTTGGAGGATTTATGTTCACTTGTAGTTCAGTGGCTGGGCTGCAGGTGGTATTTCTGGACGAAGTGCAGGTGGTGGTGGTAGTCGATTCAAGAGGTTCTTGAAGTGATCGGCCCATTGTTTCCTTTGTTTCTCTTCTTTGGTAATTAATTTTCCGTCATCATCTTTTATTGGTTTCATCTGCGTTGATCTCTTCCCAGATAACAACCTGGTTATTTGATACAATGTTGTCAGGTCTCTCCTGCAGTCTATTCTGCTTCACTTGCCAATATGTCGTAGAAGTGTCTTTTATCTTTCCGTGCACTCTTCACTTCTTTGTCCAGTGTTTTATGCATTGCTCTCATTTCCTCTTGTCGTTGAGCATCCTTGCACTGGTTTATCTTCTGCTTCACCATCCTCCTCTCGTCTATCAGCTTCCAGGTATCCGTCGAGATCCATTCCTTGTCTTCTTTCTTCTTCCTAATACGGTTACGCAGGTTTCTTTCCACATAGCTTTCAAAGACTTCCAGTGTTCTTCCACACAGGTTTCTTCAGGGATGTTGCTCAACGCCGTCTCCCATTTTGTCTTGATGGCTGCCTTGAAGATCTTTGTAGTTTCATCCTTCAGTTTCCGAGTGTTGTGCTTGAACTGTGGTCTATCACCAGCTTTCTTGAAGGCTTTCAACTTGATTTGGAAGATTTCTCGCACTAGATGGTGAGTGGTATGAACCTACATCTGCTCCTCTCCTTGACCTTGTGTCAAGTAGGCTGACTGCGTCTCCATTTTCTTGAGATTGAGATAAAGTCGATTTGATTTTCAGTGTGTCCTGGTTTCTCATGAAATTCATGTCGCTTTGTGGATATCCTTGTGCTTGAACACACTCTCTGGCCTCCAATCGCCAAATCGTTCAATGCACAGAATTCTGCAAACAATTTCCCATTCTCCTTCATCACCTCACCGAATGCTTCTCCACCCATGGTTAGTTCTCTTCCTGTGTTGTCCGCTCCCAGTTTGGCATTCATGTCACCCATTAGAATTTTGATATTGCTAACTGAGGTCTTGTCCAGTGTTGATTGAAGTTGTCTGTAGAATCCCTCCTTTTTCTCTTGCTCTGCATTATTTGTAGGTGCATAGCGTAGCGTAGCACTGAATGATTATGAACTTTCCTTCCTTTTGAGTTGAATCTTGGTGTCATGTTCCTGCAGGAGGAGATTGGTTCCGACTACATGAGAGCCTTCGATGTTCTTGGGGACATCATGATAGCCACCCTAAAACTCAGTGTGCTGTGCTCGTGGTTGTCATCTGGGTGACAATATCGGAGTAGATTATTGATTCTCCAGTTGACAGTTTGGACAGTCCACTCCCATCCCATCTGCTTTCGCAAATTCCAAGCACTTCGATGTGATACCTCCTCATCTCGTTTGCAATGTGGGCTGCCTTGCTGGGTTCAAACATGGTGCAGACATTCCATGTCCCCACGTTTAGTTTTGCTTTTATCGAGGGAGAGAAGACACATCGGCCCGGCTAATTGGCTTGCTGAAGGCAGGCTTTCACCAACTGACGTCATTTCGTCTCTCCGATTCCTGCGAGGAATAATTTTGTTATTATTTCTTATATTTTGTTTGTGCTTTGAAGTTTCTTAAGCGATTGGATTAGTTTTATGGGGTAGGGTTGTTAGGCGTATGCCAAACCTTTTTTTATATGGGCTTAGGACCGGCTAGTAACTAGTGAACTAGTTAACCAGGCGAGGTTAGCAGACTTATACCCTAATGATTATTGTAATTGTCACGTAGATGTTTCTTACAGCAATGAATTCGATCAGCGGAATGTCCCCATTCTGCCTCACCTTTGCGAACAATATTGTAAATTCCTTTACTACAG